ATTAAAACAATAGATCTTGTTAGATCAAGAAATTTCAGGCTAAAAGGCAATACATAACATAATTTACTTGAGTTCCATGTTGCAGTTTCTAGTAATTTGTCAGTGTAGCAGCATATAGACATTAAAGAGGAATTCCAGACAAGCAGCATAATGCATATTTTGAATACATATACCTGAAACCTGCTACAATATTCATACTTTTGTTAAGCAGCCCTTGTGATTTCCACCTTTCTTCCACACTGGATAAACAGAGAGGTACCACATTTGCTTAAGATCTGCTTTTTCACATTTTTATGTGTCTGACCTTCACTTACAGCTATGCCTAGCACAATTAGCCTGGCACATATTAACATTATAATTCAATATGGCAGTTTTTAGAATATGTAAATTGCGCAATTGTGCAAAATAGAATATGCACCACCACCATCAGCGTCATCTTTGCAGACACCAAATCTGTAACATGTTAAGTCATGCTACAGAGATGGAGCCAGGCTAATATATTTTGTTTTCCCACCTCAATACTTGATTTGTACCATCATCTAAGAGCCTCAAAGTTTCATTTTCCAGCCCTTATCATCTTTATAATACAATAACAAAGAGTACCATTAACAATTTGAATAGTTAGTGGGTACATTTCCTAACACAGATGGCGTGAGAAGCAAATATACTTTTAGGACTTTAAAAAAAAAGGAAAACATTTCTTCTGCCATATAAAAGCCCAACAGAACTTTCAGTTTATCGTTGCAGCAAAATGATACCATTCCAAGCAGTAAATACCTGCATTCACTAGTTGTAAGTTCTGGAACAAGACACTGGATCCAAATTTGTACTATCTTGCCAACAAGCTGCACTTTGCTGATCTGTTTTTCAGCCAACTTTATTGTCCATAGCACTTAGGGGTGAATATATAAAAAGTTTGCAGAGCCTTTCATTCTGCAAAATTGACATTATATTCGTCCTGTGCGAATAAAGCAAAATCAAATGTATTGTTCTTCTGTAGACCTAATGTAATTGTCATAAATAGTGCATTATGTTCACTGGATCAAGCCGAGGATCATATGAATAGTAATACTTCATCCCTATGCTCCTTGGCTGCATCATAGTGCAGTATTTTATGACAAGTACATTAGTTCTGCAAGTGAATACATTCAATGTTGCCTTATTTGCACAGAGCATATCTGATGTTTGCAAAGAAATCACTGCTTCCACATAGAGAGAAAGGGTCTTTCTCTGCAGCATTCTGGCAGGGGACAGCCTTTTCTACTCAACCTGTGGCTGGTGTCTAAAGAAAATAAATTATTAGACTTTGAAGACCTTTTGTTTTGATGCACCTGGAATGTATTTTGTTTATTTTAAACTGAAGGTTAAATTTGGTTTAACTTTTCAATATCATATTTTTATATATAATCTGTGGTTCTTACCCAGAGTCCTAACAACAAGAGCATCAACAACCAGATTAGTGTAGCTGACTATTGCTCTCCTTACCACTTATTATCCTAGAACACTAATGTTCTTTGACTGTACTTTGAGTATTATTTCTAAAACTGCACTTTGGAAATGGACAGAAAATGGAAAGAAAATGTGCAAAAATCAGGGCTTGAAGCATATGCAACGATGAAAAAACTGGTGTTATATTGTGATTTGTCTGTTTTTGGATGACCTAATTCCATTGCATTCAATAAACCTGGAGTTTTTCTGGCCATGGTATGGAATGGAGATGTTTTGCTAAAGTATTTGGTTTTGGTTGTAATACACTTATCTGTGCACTCCTGTTATGTCTTGTGGTAATACCTAAAGCTTAAAAGGCTTCATGTATCCTGGTAATGTAGAATTAACCAAATCCATGACAAATATTATGCCTAAGCAATGTTCTTTCTTAGAAGATCCAAAATTCTGCTTTCGGTTCATTGACAGTTTGCCTTCCTGGGCCAGAGCCTGAGTGACCTATCATTTATTGAATTTGATAAATTAGCTACATAGTAAAAGGTCCGTAACATAGCATATTGATTATAAATAGAAAGCTTTACAGTTAACATGAATTATTCCTCTTTAGATCATTTAATCGTGCAGAGATTGTGGGATAAACAGGTCAAACATGTCAGTCTACACTTCTCTTTGTTTTGTTTTTTTAGCATGTAGTATTTATTGAAGTTTCATTTATTGAAATTTATTGAAGTTTGTCATTACCTGTACGAGGTGTCCTATCAACTAAGCTTTATTCGGATTCTACCAGGGTCTTGTGGGACAAGATTTTCGTCAAGGGGCTAAGGGCCTACTGTAAGGGTCAGTGTAAAGGGAGTAAGTAATGGACATGACAAGAAGGGAATGTCCTCAGACCAATCTCCCCATATTAAATCCTAAGCTAATATTTCCCAGGTGTGTCTATAATACGTCTAATCCTCCTAAGGAATTTGAGAGTTTGGCTGTAAGGTACCATTTGGAATGTTGGAAGCACCGCATGAGATCTTGGAGTTGGGAGTGAGGGAGGGTCTTGATCAGGAAGGAGGACCATGTGGAAAAGAAATGTTCTATGCGCTTCTCCTCATGTTGCGTGTCTGCCTTATCGAGAAGCATAAGCTTATGTAACGTGGATTGAAAGTCCCCTATTGTAGTTACCTTTGGCATTATCCAGTTGTTAAGGATTACCTTTTTGGAGGCTAACATGCATAGGTGTTCCCAGCGTGTAATGGATGGGACCGATGAAGTGAGTTCATGAGGTATATCATGTAAGAGGCATAGTGTAGGGTGGGGGTTCCTATTCAAAGTTGAGACGGAGTTCATGTAATTTATTGCCACCTGCCATAGGGAAGATATCCTCGGACAAGACCAGATCAGATGAATGAAATCCGGGTGGTGGATGGCACACTTAGGACAGTGTTGGATCCAGTCTGTGGTATGGCAGGGTAAGCCAGTGTGAACTTGATGCCGCGATCCACCAACAGGCGGCAGACTTCAGAGAACGATTTACGTTGTTTAGTGAGAGCCACCGAATAATCTGCGAATAACAATAACTTATGACCATCCACCTCCAGCGTGCGTTGTGCCCTGTAGGCCTGCAGTATCTTTCTCCGGTCATTAAAATCGAGATAGCGAACAATTACCGGCCGGGGTTTGTGCGTGTCTCTCTGCGCGCCCACTCTGTGTGCACATTCGACTTTGTAGGGGGTCGAGAGGCCCAGCACCTGTGGTATGACCGTTTCACATAGATGGATGAGGTCTGTGTGGGGGGTCGTTTCTGGAAGGCCAATGACCCTCAGGTTATTTCTCCTCAACCTATTCTCAAGGTCATCGACCTTATCTATCAATTGGGTTACAGACGAGTTAGCTCGCTCGACTGACTGATGGGTGGTGCGCAGTTGGTCTTCTAGGTCGCTCACTCTGTGCTCCGCAGTTTGAATGCGGTGAGCATGAGAGTCGACCGTGATTTTGAGCGGACCCAGCTGCTGTTGGAGCACGTCCATGACGATCGCTTTCATGTCGGCTTTAAGGTAAGCCGCTACCGCTACGGCAATGTTTTGATGCTCTGTGTTCAGTGCGTTGGTGCAGGCAGGCTCACCTTCCTTCGGATCGTCAGAGGAGACCAGCATGTCCTCTCCGTCCGCCATCTTGGACGGGTCCAGCTCATCTCCCGATGTCAGCAATATGGCTCGTCGCGGCTGCTGTGGGCGAGACACAAACTTGTCCATATCAGCAGGTGATCCGGGTCTAGTGAGGTAGGCAATGTGCGATGAGATAGACAGGCGTTCGAAGGATTCGAAAGTATATCGGGACGGAGCAGTGCTGCACACGTCTAACTCATTGGGCGCCGGAACCGGAAGTCTTCTCTTTGTTTGGCCTTAACTCCAGCCATTCCTTCTGAATTCCAATGCATCACAAGGCTATCTGAGATATATAGTCCTGTCAATGTTTTTGGATCCTCCTCCTAGCGGGATATGTCTTATAAATATCTGAGGGAAGCTCATATATATCTGAGGGAAGCTATATGAGGTACTTGAGCCAACTCAGTCGGCACCTGTGAGATAGACTGCCATATATCGGGTTCTTAAATACTATAACTATAATTTAAACCCTAATTTTCTGTGCATAACCCATGACCTTTTTCTTACAGTCACTGCTTGTAACTCAAAACCATAGCAAAACATGGCCATTTGTAGATTGACTGCTGAAGTTGTAACTGAAGTAAAAGTGTATTTAAACCCTCAAACAACAATGTATTATACTGCAGCTTACCATCTTTAGATGTTGTGGCTGAATTAGGTATTTATTTTCCTCATTTTCACTTGGTGAGCCTGCTGGTAATTAACTTCCCACCCTAGTGTGACAACTCTCACTCACCATACTGTATCAATGGAGGAGCACTGCTGTTACACTAGGACAGGAAGTGTGTTTGCAGAACACCTCCCTCTCCCATCATCTCCATAACATGGGGGAAGTTGTCCTCTGGTTCACAAAGATTGAACTAGGCAGGGATAATAAGAGTACTAACTGATAACAATACAGCAGTGGCAGAGTGTACAGGAAGTTACAATAGACTAAAAGGGAGCAAAAAAGAGATAGAAATAGAAAAAGCACATAAGCAGATTTGACTGCATGTGGCCTTGAATTTAGGGACTGGCAAGCAGGAGTGCATTTGTCTTTTTTCCTTTTAGTTGAGCACCTGTTCATTAGAGAGCACATGCAGATCTCAATTTCTAGAGAGTCCAGATAACTTGCCCTAAAAAATGAATTCCACATAAAGGACTAATGTATTTTAGTAGAGTTAGTCTCTATTAGTCAACCTCCAAGTCTGTCACTCACCTGCCTCCACTTCTTCAAAACCTATTCTTCAGAGGCTCTAAAAATGTGCTGCATTTCAGCAGAAAGCAAGTTCAAAGAATTTTCACAGTATCCAAGTGCTTCAGGTTGCGAAGCACAATCGTATATGGTATAACATAATGTATTCACTTTTGAAAATAATTATGTGGCATAACGTTAATATGTTAATTTATAATATTTTACAGGGTAAAAAGCAAGACATTCCACGAGAAGAACAAGGTCCAACAATTAAAAACTTGGATTTCTGGCCAAACCTTATTACTCTTATGGTCACTATCATTGATGAGGATAAGACTTCGTACACACCCATTTTAAACCAGTGAGTACTAAAATATGAAAACACCCATCAATCATAAGCTGCTGCAAATCTACAGAGTACCACTCAGTGTTTAATAAGAAGTTTTAAGAACTGCTACAAACAAATTGATGCATATCATACTTTTACTTGAAGGCTATGTTAGTTCACTGCCCTCTGAAAAGTGATCCGAGGGGGTTGGTGTCCAGGAGGCCATACTTCTGCCTTCTAAATGCATTTTTGTTAAATTCCAGCTCGGATTTTCTTTTGCAATGTCATGCTGCAAATTCATACCCATGCGGCTGTGGCACAGTCCCATTAATTGCAATGATCACATTTGAAAAGCGGCACCGTTTACCAAACACAACATGCTGTATATTTTTTGCTGCACCACGACACAAGGCATAGTGGCAGCAGCAATGTATACAGTGCTAATTGACCGCAGTGCTGACATTGCAGAAAGTGACTGGGGGGCAGTGAATCCATGGATTAATCACCTGGATTTATTGCCCCTTTACCACCCACATAAATGAGGCCTTAGACACATCTACTTGTTTCTAAGAGCCACTAAGGCCAAGACAGCACTTTGAGAGTCAGCTTTTTTTATATTAACAGCAAGAAAATTAGAACTTCAACCACTATTTAGTATCAGATAAAGTGGGGAAGGGATAGATTTGTTTCTTTGTGTGGTTCCAGAGTAGACATTGCAGTCAAAAGACCATAGAACCAATCATGCAGGATTGAAATAGACATTACCTAATGCCAAATAAATGATATCTTTCAGCAAAGAAAGTCGAACCCAGCTGATGGGCAATGGACGTTTCTCCTCAGATTAGATGGCAGTCTGCATAGTTATCATAGACCTAGGGTTGTTTCCTAATCTGACCATAATTTGCTGAATCTCATGTCTATTAGTGCACCTACCTTACTCTTGTCTGCATACACTCTTACTTTAAAAAACTGCACACATTCATAGGATATAAGGTGTCTGGTATATCTCTAAACAGAAACCTGTAACATCTGTGAAAATCTCATACTATCATAAAATAAAAAAATTTGGGGTTATATATTTCATTTGATTTGGCTTTATTTTCTTACACACAGCAATGTCACTGTAGCTGTTACAGTAGCTAGATGAGTTTTCTCCATGGTGTCATATTTTGTAATAGAAAATGTTGGTAACTGTAATAGTAACTATTGACTTATAATGGCCAGCTAGCTTTTAATATGATGCCGAGTGCACACTGGCCTCATAAGAGCAGACATGGGTGTTCAGTCTTCAGTCTAGCAAAACCTGATAGATGTTCTTTTCATCTGTGCTTCAGACTACTCACTTTGATTATATGAAATCATTACATGTTATCATTGGGTAAACCATGCTCTTGCATTTAGAAGGAATAAGTAACCTTGGATGAAATATTTTAATATCGCCCGCAGCCCAATATTGACTTTGTGAAAAACCTCCTCTCCCCACAGGCATTGCATCTGAAATATGAAGATGTGTTAAAATAAACTGATAACTCCTAATTAGATCATTTAGAGCCAACCAGGGGCCCATAGTGTGCTAGTTGGAAAAAATGGTGTCTGCATCTACTCAGTACAGTGAGCATATTCATAGTATAATTATTATGCATAGAAAATAATAGCTGTCCATCAGTTAGTGATCAATGTTCATAGAGTGCAAACATGCCATTTGTGCAGGCTGTACAGCTGCACAAGGACTCTTTGGGACTTAAGGGCCCATTTATAGTAGTGTGTGAGGTGGGTGCTGCAGGTTCTCCTACTGTATCTTGAGACTATGGCAGATGAGAAACGGAAGGAATTCATCATGCTCCTGTAATATCTCATTGATGTTGGCCAGTGATTCATGCATTTTCCATTTCCTCTTGACACCATTTATACCGAAAGTGAAAGGGATGTTTTTTTATCTTACTCCGGTTTTATATTGGCATATTTTTAGAATGCTTTTCATTTTCAGAATGCTATCCATCTATCTATCTATCTATCTATCTATCTATCTATCTATCTATCTATCTATCTATCTATCTATCTATCTATCTAGTTAATTAATTACACTGAGAAGTAGTTGAAAGGAGACACTGCCCAAAAACTG